TAAACAGAACCAGCAGCCGGTTCATTAAGGTTTGCTCAGATAATTAATCCCCAAACAGAACGGTGCTGCAGAGCCTCTCATTAAGCCGGCCCACCGGTCGGACCACATTAGCGTCTCTGTGACTTTAAGGCGTTCAGCGCTGGGGCAAGGCGTCCACTGCAGACCCAGAACGCTTACATAAGTCGGGGCGAGGAGTCAGGAAGCAGAGATCGTGCGAGCGGCACGCAGCACAGCTGAGAGAAGCAGCTGAAGATGCAAATGAGCTCAGAGGGAATAAATCCAGGATGCAGATCCCTGAAGGCAGCGTTAGATGATCTGCATTCAGCATGAAAGCCTGGCAGCTGATTATGGAACCAGGCTGAGAAGCAGCTTCCACAGAAATAAAACCTTCAGGAAGGCAGATGATGGCGGTTCAGCAGCAGGATCAGATTAAAAACCTCTGAAGGCACCTGAAGCTGCAAACAGGAACAAAGTTTTGCTTCTTTCTTTAATACGTTTAACATCAAATGTTTTTCTGTGAAAATAAAAGTATGGAAGACTAAGCAGTTACACTCCTCACCTGATGGTGGCAGTAAATAGCCTGAAGGCTGTTCAGACGCCTTTAATCATCTAATGTTACACTGATGGCAACGATTAGCAAAGATAAAATATTTGGGCCGTTTCTCAATTCACAAAAACGTGAGCGGACTCGTTTCCTCGCCAAGTCTGTTCCTGACTAGAACCCAGGAAAGTCTGGACTCTGGGAGAACGGGACACGCAGAATAAATCTGGGTCAACTGGAACAGCAGCGTACTGATGACATCACCACATTCAAAGCTCGTCTGGAGCTGCATACTCCTCCTGTTATTAATAGTCTCTAGATTATAATAAATTAGCCATGGCCGCTGCGGACCGGCTAACGTTAGCCCCGGCCGCTGCAGACCGGCTAACGTTAGCCCCGGCCGCTGCAGACCGGCTAACGTTAGCCCCGGCCGCTGCAGACCGGCTAACGTTAGCCATGGCCGCTGCAGACCGGCTAACGTTAGCCATGGCCGCTGCAGACTGGCTAACGTTAGCCTCAGAGCTCCGCTGGTTGCCGCGGTTCTCAACATCAGAACTTTTTATAAATTCCGCACTAAATCAGTAAACGTTCCATATAGTGAAGCTTAACTTATAATATTCGCGCCTCCAATGATCTGAAAACGTACTTTTATTAAACAACAGCAACAGAAAAGAGAACTTTTAACTAAATACTCTGAGCGCTAACCTGGAAGCTGCTGCACAAGTACACAGAGAGACGGCCGAGTTCAATGGTTCACTTTTCTTCTTCTGTGGTGATATTTAACGCATCACCAACATGACAGATGATAAAAACAATTTTATTTCAGCATCAAAGGCAGTCATGGTAATCTATATTAAAGTAGTAACGCTGTGTGGAGTACTGCTGATATTTCACATAGCACTAGCTACATTAGCATAGCTTAAAAGCTTTGTTTTGGTTAGCTAATATAGCTTGTACCTGCTAGCTATGAGGGACACCGCTATGAGGCTCGTCCAAGGTGGCGCCCGATTTTTAGGACTGAAATCCGATTAATCGATTATTAAAAATAACCGTCAACTAATTTAGTAATTGATTAATCGTTAACTGGACTCTAAAACGGGCCTTTACCCGTTAACAGAGAAACGGTAAATATACCAAAAAGAATATATTTTACCTTTAAGATAAAGAAGGTTTTTCCTTTTTCAACCTGCTCTATAATCCAGAACTCGAGTAGAAAAGTTTTAGTTTCATCTGGTTAAAAGTTTTCTTTAAGAAAACAGTTATCCAATTATTACTCGACAGATTAATGATCGCCTTCAGTAACGGCCGCTAGAGGGCGCCGCAGTCTATTCCTCTGAGGGACTCACCTATCAGGGGGGACGTCTTTGGACAGTAAGGCATTTCGTCTCCATGGCTATGTCCTCTGGACGGGTGCGAAAGGTTGGCGTAGACGTCCCCGCCACCCAAGGCGCCGCCCGTGCGGTTCTGAAGCGGCGGTCCGGTGGCGTCACCCTTACGGAAGATCCGGATAAAGTAGCTGACCCGTTTCTGGTATCCCTCCCGGGAAAGCAGCGCCATGACCACCAGCTGGATGCCCAGGAACATGAACAGGAAGCGCCATTTGGACTGTAGTGTAACCATGGCGACAGCAGTGGGGTCAGAAATAAGTTCCAAAACAAACAAAAAAAAAATCTCAGAAAAAAGGCACTTTGGGCAGCCGGCTGCTAAACGTCCGACCAGCAGCAGGAAACAGTTTCTGTTGCGACTCGTCCCAGTTGGACCGGCGGTCCGGTTCTGGTCTCGGTGGTGTGATGATGGCGGCGTCACGTGGTTCCTCCCCCCATCCTCCGGCCTGGGAAGCTCATTCTCCTGCTGTCAGCTCTTTATGCTGCCGTCTGCTCTCCCTCATGGCCTCCAGGCCAACAACAGCGCCGCAGACAAAAGGCGGCATGTGCAGCCGCCCTGAAGGCCCGCCGCCGCCCGGGGGATTACAGCCAGGGGGGGTCTGGTGGAGAAGGGCGTCAGCTCAGTGAAAAAGAGGCGTTATTCTACCACATCAGGCCCATTGGGTGGAGGGGAAGCGGGGGGTCCGGCAGGGTTCTGGAAGACAGAAAGAAGGAGGTCCGTCAGAACCGGAGCAACAGAAACATGAAGGATAGAAACGGTTTCAGCCTAAAGACGGCGCCGCAATGACCTCTGAAGCTAATTAATTAGCAGTAGTTAAAGCTGCAGCCTGCTGATCCTAATCCTAATCCTAATCCTAATCCTAATCCCACTGAAGGCTCCCAAAGGATCACCTGCACACAGCAACACCTCTGATCTCAGCCTGAGCCTGAATCGGGTCAGAATCTGGAGAACCGCTGCTGGGATTCAGTCATGGAGAGAAAAGTTCTGGATTCTGATAAACAGGAAACGCACGTTAATCATCATCATCATCATCATCATCATCATCATCAGCAGCAGCACTTAGGCTAATCAGCTCTCAGAGGAACATGATGCATTATGAGCACTTTGGGTCGGGTCCAGATCAGACGCAGCGGTTCTGGTTCCCATCTCTGTCTCAGTGAAATGGCGGACGGCGTAAAGAAGAGAGAACCTGATCCTTCTGGTCCGGATGGATCCTGGGAATGTTCACCTAACTGGGAACCAGAACATCACACCCAGTCCGTCGGAACCAGAACATCACACCCAGTCCGTCGGAACCAGAACATCACACCCAGTCCGTCGGAACCAGAACATCACACCCAGTCCGTCGGAACCAGAACATCACACCCAGTCCGTCGGAACCAGAACATCACACCCAGTCCGTCGGAACCAGAACATCACACCCAGTCCGTCGGAACCAGAACATCACACCCAGTCCGTCGGAACCAGAACATCACACCCAGTCCGTCAGAACCAGAACATCGATACCCAGCAGGAGATGAAGGATCAGTGAAGATGATCTCAGGTTAAACTGAACTTGGATGCTTTCAAAGTAACAGTATGACCTTTGACCCCAGCTCTGATCCAGAGCAGAAACCTTTCCGCTCCTTGTTTTCCTGCTGGCAGGGCCGGGTCATCGTCTCCATGGCGACCTGTAGATCCTCCCAGCAGCAGCAGGTCCTCTCTGTTCGCCTTCAGCTGGATGATAACAGCAGCTCAGGAGATAATCAGGACTCCAAGTTCAACTCCAGACTGGGTTTTAAAAGCAGGCAGATGTTTCTGTCACAGCTGGATCCGATATAAACAGCTGCCGGGTCAGACCAGAACCAGAACCAGAACCCGGGCCTGAGCTCTGCTCAGCCAGCTCTACGTCAACACGTTTCCCAGGAACAGGCTGAACAAACATTAGAATCAGGGATGGGAGGAAGGCCAGCGGCCGTTGGCACGACGACGGGTACCCGCCTCCTCACCATGGAAACCACCCATCCATCAGCCGCCCGGGGGTTGGAGTCTCCTGAGGGAGAAAGAGGAGAACCAGAGGGAGACAGAACCCCCCCTCCCTGGAAGAACGCTGCGGTCAACAGCAGCATCAGGAGGCGACCCACCAGAACCGAGCAGGGAACAGAACCGGTCCGACACCGGATCCACAGACCCACTGAGGGAAAACATGCAGACAGGAATGAGGAAGTACTTCATCCTTCATCCTCTGGGTCCAGTTAGCCACGGTTCTGATCCATGTTCTGCCAACATCTGCCCACTGAGAGCATCAGGCTGGTCCAACTGACAGGAGACATGATCACCCCGAAACTAAAGGAGGAGGAACAGGAGGAGGAGCAGGAGCAGCGGGAGGAGCAGGAGCAGCGGGAGGAGGAGGCCCTGCTGGGCCTTTTGTTCCGAAGAGGAAACTGAAACCCAAACCAGCCTGAAACCAGCTGATTCCCAGAGATCCGAGCAGTTTGACCCGAACCAGCTGCTACGCAGCTTCCGGTGGAGCCTGAACCCGGAGGGAAACTTTTCTTTGTTCTTCTTCTTCTTCTTGGGAAAAAAAAAACTTTCAATGTTGCGCAAACGCTTCAAATGACGCAAACAGTTTCAAAGTCTGAGATGAGCGCAGATAATGAGCCAATCAGGGTTCGGTTCAGTTCGGACCAGAGTCCGAAATCAGCGTTTAATCATTAACAGCTTCCATGCTAACTCCGCCATGCTAACACCGCCATGCTAACTCCATTAAAGTCCTCATTTCAGCTTCACAGCAGAACAAACTAACTTTAAACCGAAAGAAGCTCCCAGATGTGAAGGAAGAACCGGACGGAGCTAACGGCCGCTAGCCAGTTAGCTCCTTAGCCTGCTAGCTGGAGCAGCTAACCTCAGAAAAAACACTTTATTTCCTCCATGTTGAAAAACAATCATTACCGTCAGAGCGCGCGGAGCTCCGGGCTGGAGGAGCGGGAGGCTCTCGGTGTTTCCAGCAGCGGTCTGAGGCTCACGGAGGCTCCCCTCCCCTTCAGAGACTCCCACACCGCCCACACTCAGCCAGGGAGGGGGAGGAAGCTCACTCTGCCCTCCCGGTGCGAGTACGGAAACACCGAGGAGCCAAAAAACACAGCGGCGGGGGAGGGGCTACTCTGCTCTGATTAAAACACCTGCGCCAATTCTCAATTCTATGGTACGAAGGAGAATTAGAGCCCGGCTAGAGACTGGGTC